GGGAACTAACAACCCAGGGGGGGACTTGGAGTGGCGAACCACTAGAATAGGCGTGGTACAGAACCGGATGATAGCAGGGCTGTTTTGATTCAGTCAGACACACTGTTGGCCCCCAAAAATGAGGACCTGTCTTCATTGTACAACAAACTACACACACACAAGTCCCTCTGACTGACCGCTTCGACCGATGTTCTCAATTGTTAAAGTACAGAAAGAGCATGAAGATGACCGGATTTTAGAGACCCTCCTTCTTATTCGATACATGACACTATCAATCTGTTTGGAATGCTGTTAGAGACATATGTCCTCTCATTTCCTTGTACTTCATCGCAAGGACAGTGCGAAATGTGTTTGTTGTCCCGTTCGCAAGTACTGCTTTCATCTTTGATGCATGACACACGCAGTTTAAGGACACAAGTGGCGATATTTGCTTATCTTTTCCGGAAAGCGTTTTCTAACGTCCAATCCGTTTATGAGTGGTCCAGAACTGCACTCGCTTAAAATATCGTGACACAGTGGAATTGGACCAGTTGAACCGTCTGGCTATCTAGTAGAATAACACCATAGGTCCCTTCGTGTTAAATGAAAGGCATAGGTGAAGTGTCATAGGCAGACATCAATTGTGAATCACCAGAAGTGCATCTGACTTAATGAAAGAGTTATAAAAGGACGCGCGAAGGGACAATCAGTGATGCGGAAAGATTGGGTTTGATTACCTGTTACATTTCTTATCCCGGACGGGCTGTGCAACGGGGGCAAACCGGACGCACTGGGATCCAGAGGAGGTCGACCGGTAACGGGAGCACCATTCGTAGTCGGAGGAGCAGCTGACGAGGTCAGGGCTTGAGACATGTACTCACGCTCGATCACAATGTTTGATTTGGGCAGACTGTGTGGCACGGACGGAGTGATTCCGTCCGGACCGATGGAACGAGTGGAACTAGCCCCGGTCGAAGCTCGGAATGGGCCGGATCGAGTGAACTGAGAACGAAAACGGGACATCGATTGACGCACACTGTTCCACAATCGATTTCTCTCTGGACGTGGACCGGACAAGAACCCGTCAGATGGAGAGGATACGAGAGTTCGGGATGACTGAGCGGTGTCCAGTTTGGTCGACGGTGATGTGGAAAGGTCGGTCAGTAGATTGGCCGATTGCACGGAAACCACATCATTCGTTGGTTGGGTGTGCATACGCTAAATTCGACAATGGCAAGGGGAATGTAATTGACAAAAATATTCGCTGACAGATGATGCGAAGAATGAAATCTTATCCTAATCTATGACGCTACCAGAGCATTAATCAAACCAAAGGGGATTATACGATTATATGTGACTGCCGGTGAAGATAGAACGGGATCATTAAAGCACAACATTCGATCTAATTGGAGCCATTCGCTAGGGATGCTATAGCTGTGGACCGTATGCCTTAGCGATAAGCAATCAAACCCATAAATTAAAAATTCGTGGGTCGAATCCCGGTAGACATTGCTGAGATGGATTCCAACGAGGACAAAACAGATTCCGGTGCATTTTGTGGGTCTTCACATAAGAATAACTTCGAAGTGAAATAAAGTGTATATATATATATATTTCCAAGTTGTGAAGCAACGTTCCCCCGAGGAATTAAATTGACAACTGATCTAAGCATTACAAAATACGATTTTTCATTACAACATGAGCTTAAGGAACCACTGTGTGCAGAGACATATATACATTCGGTTGGGTCTGTGAGTAACAAATTCTTATGTAGGAGAAATATAATCGCAAACAAATCGAAGAGTATTGAAACTTTGGGAGAAATGTGATTCGGTTTACAACGTATTATAACGGTGTTGGGGAAAAATATCACTACCGTCAGATATAGTCATTTTCCCTGAACTCTCTGGGAAAAAAACCCGAGAGAAATCGTTAAGACTGACTGAGTTTTTCATCAAAGAATACCAAAGTGATAGTAGTAGTAGTAGTCAAGAGGTTTGATTGCCTGACGAGGGGCACAATTTGGGACTAAAAGCAAAAAGGGGGTTCGAACCCTAATCACGTGAATATAATTTGGTTAATAAGTAATTTAGATGCGGATCGGTTGAATATCACACCTAAACTGTGTAAGGCCTCATGTTTCAATTTCAGTTTTTTATAACCAGGTGGTTTTGGTTACTGTCATTTGGTTACCTATTTACGCGGAATAGAGAGAGAGAGAGAGATAGGGAATATTGAAAGCTATATTAAAGTGAAAACACCGAATTCTGGTAGACATAGATTGCAAAGACATGGAGAAGACAGACGAATGTCATTGTATAAGGCACTCAGCCAAATCACTCAAGTCAGTGTTTCTAACCATCGATTACGCTGACTTCGAGGTTCACAACAGGAAAGCCTAATGCAACTTAAGTGTCCGAAAGTAGACTATAAAACACCTGAGATTTATTTCATTTTGCTCAAACGAAGAACTGACCGCATCCGGATAACGTCAAGCTATCTCCCAACTTATTGAATTTGAAAGAATCATCATTCAACGTGTTTGAACCTGTCTGTTTTTTCTACGTGGTGATCAAGGAGTGATTGTCAAACGAGATCAGGGATTGAGTGTGTGATCGATTGGTTGGTTGGTTGCTCATTGCTCAATCATCAGGTTGTCATGTTATGTAGCACACAAATAAACACCAATTCAGATGGTGATTGTTTGTATTAGCCCATTCGGTTTATCTTGGGTGGTAGGCACTGAGGGTGGGTTTCACCCTCTTCTTCGGAGCGCGTTCATTCCCCACCAGTTCAATGCATCTGAATGCGATGGAAATCATAAACAGTGCCTGTGAAAAAAATAATGAATAAACGAATGAATAAATCCAAACATTCATCATTTACATTGATTCGCATAAGGTGATGACCATCGGCCTAGGAGCTCAACGGTGAAGGTATTTCCTCCCAAACCGCAGGTTCACAGTGTTAGCCCTGACACGGGGACACAAAAAGGACGTGCACTAATGACGAATGTCAAACAGTACGAAACAACTGTTTGCAGTGCATTTTGACCGTCATCACAAAGATTTCCATGAACAATTCACATTGATTGA